ACTTGTGTGAAATATTCTCTTTTTACTTACATTCTGATGTGCGGTGAAGAAAAAAAAGGGATTAATCTTGTGTCTTGCCTAGTTTCTTGCCTTCTTGTTGGACGCTAAGCTTAGTGACGTTATCACCAAGGGCTCAGCTCGAGGACACTCTCCTGTCAGCCCCCTCTCTGCCAACGGTGACCGGCGCAAGCTGGGAAAACAGAACGTGAATTCTCATTAATGGGGTTAAAACAAGAGATGGAGAAGAGGCAGACCATCCCAATAACCGTCTTGGCTTGGAAAGCAGTTCCTGTGCGATCACTGGAACGGAATGAGCTGTGTTTGGCTTAGCGTCCTGGACCGCCGTCTGGATTCCCAGACTCTGACATCCGGCTGCCATGCAAAGTGTGCGTGCCCCCGTGACAGGGACGTCTCTCGGACCGGGCCGTTCCTTTTCCTCGCCGGGGACCCGGAGCCCGGTGCCGGCCCTCTCTCCGGCAGCCAGCAGGCCTGCGCCCTCCCAGCCATCACAGGCCGGCCGTTTCTCCTTCGCTCCCGGCCACCGTGGTCCCCGGCCGGCCAGCGGTGTTACCGCGTCTGCCTCCCCCAGCCTCCCGTCCGCCTGCTTCCCCGCGGCGGGTCACGCTGCCGTGAGCCCTCTGGGCGACACGACGGTGGCTTCCACGCGGTGTACTCCGTCCCCTCCGCCTCTTGCCCTCCTCCACCGGTCAGGACGTGTTTCTTCAAAACCGCCCGCATCTTCCGCCCGGCTCCGCTCCTCTGTTTCCTTAGTTTGAAACGATGCTCTCGGAGGACTCTCATCCCTCCCTTCCTTCGGCGAATCTCTCAGAATTTACCTTTTCTGAAAGACTCACTGGCCATCCTGCTTCCACAGGTCTTGCCCGCCCATTGTCGTATCCCTCGTGTTCTTCGCTCTGGTTTCTGTGCACTATTCGCCATGACATATCCCATCCACCACGCGTGTGTATTTACGCTCTGCTTGCGGGGCGTGTGTGCGTGTATTTGGATGTGCGTGTCTGTGTGTCCTTATTCCTGTCTGGGGCCCCCCCCCCCCCCACAAAACTAGAATATAAACTTGAGGCTAGAGCTTTCCTTCTCCTTTCTTCGCCGATATCTACAAGTCGCTAGCAGAGTCACATGCACACAGAAGTTGCTCAAAACGCTTGTCCATTGAACGCCTGAGTGTCCTAGTTACGTGGTAGCTTGGAGCAGTGTGACAGAGTCGTGCTCACACTTTTCTTCAGTGACGTCATTGTATCCCACATCTCATTCATGCACACAGTAGTCACACATTGAGGAAAGACCAAGAGCTTAGGGCTGTTCAGAATATGTTCCTTCCCCAGAGGAGGTTACAGCCAACTGGTATTTCTGGTTATGTAAATATTTATCAGACAGAGCCTGTCGTAATAAACGTAGCAACATTTAGTGAGCTTTGAGTAAAGATACAAGTTTATTTTTCCAAACAGCAGCACATCGACCCATAAAAAGTAAGAATCTACAGAAAGTTAGGATGTGAAACAATTACATTAGTCACGTACTATGCCACCAGCCAAGTCACCACACCTTCTGTACGAGACCTCTTTAACGGCTGGGTCACTTGAATATCTCGCGTATAGACATGTGCTTGGCATTGGTCGAAAGTATGCTGCATTATCAAAATCACACGTATTACATGAAAACGACCCTGTTGATTGAATCACACATCAATGGCAGTAACATTCTGTAGTCTTAGAACGTGATACCCACATTTTCACTGTGAGGAATTGATTTTCTTCAAGTGTCTGTTATGAGTTACTAACAAGTAGTAAACTCTCATTGTCAGTCTAGATTTTGTGCTCTAGGAGGTCAGCGACCACTCTGTGGTGCACCCGTTTCCCCCCGGCACTACCGAGTGAGTCCGCATGTCAGTGGATCGCGGACTGGGACGTGCCTGCTTTTCGAGAGGTCCTTTAAAGAATGCAGTGGCTCTGTACCCGCCCAGGTTCAGAGCTGCAGGGGGCTGGGATACAGGGAGGGGCAAGGGAAGGAGAGTGTGTGAGGCGATGAATAACCCTGAGTAGCCCACTTAATTCACCTCCGAGGCAAGGCTACCTGGGGAACAGAATCATCCAGCTGGTCAGGATGCTGTGTGGTTTCCACCCCTGAGACTTTATTCCGGAAATAATTTTCATCTGGCCCAGTACCTGCATATGATGTTGTTCTCTTCACCCCCACATGAATCATCTTCAAAAATTAAAATGATCTGCTTTACCCATGCCCCCCCAAAAAGCATGCTTTGCTTCCCAATACTGTCGTTAGAGTCACTACACGTATCATTAAATGGCCAGCCATCCTGCCCATCATCCGGCTTTGTTTTTAGGGGACCTTCGTGCTCTATTATTAATGGGTGATTTGTCTGAATGGTTTCAGACTACGGTGATTTGTAATCCCACTACAGAAAAAGCCATGCCTGCTTTCTCTGTGCTGGGTTTCCGGCAGTAAGTGCTCTAGGTCTTGCTTCGAAGCGGATTTTGACAGTAGGAAAAATAATAGCCCCATTAACCTCTAACAGTTGTATAAAGGTTTAATAAAACACGAGGGATAATTGCCCCAATCTACTGTGTTCTATCATAAAACGTGGTAAGAGGGAGTTTTGCAATTGTGAAAGATCCTTGTTTTCTTAACAAATGTAGCACGAATCCCCACGTAGCATGAATATGCTAGATTTCATGAATTGCTTCATAAATCAGGTAAGTAAATTATGCTTGCAGTTTCTACATAGGCCTTTGTCACTGCAGGAACTAAAATATCTTTCAAAGTGCGGTGGGAACCCCGGCTGCAGAGGGGAGTGCTGTCTGGAAACAGGGTAGGAACAGCGTCACTGGTAACTAGGAGGAGAAGAAGGTGGCTCATCAATTATTTAATACACCACTTACACAGATAATAAGTAACTGGGAAAAAGAAAGGACCTATGAAAATATGCAAAATAAGGTACAGCCTGATTGGATCAGAGACAGTTAAATGGTACTGTAACCCTAATAGGAAATAAAATGCTTTTTCAGTGATTTCAGCGTACAATTATGGAGCGTAATTGATTAACTAAAGGGAAAAAAACTCACTTTGCAAAGCGACTGGAGAATGCATTATTTTGTTTGAGAGAGCTCGCAGATGGCTGCAGCTCTGACAGGACAGGATGCATCGTAGCATTTCCGTCACTTGTGTTTTGAGAAGCCCAGCATATCACATGTTGGGTTTCTGTTTTCATCAAACTTTATAAAACAACTTAACCTTCCAAAATAATTGGATGAGAACGGAGTCCCGAAGAACCATAGGGCTCTGGAGCCTTGTGGGATTATTGGTGTTTGGGTGTCAGTACAGTTAAAATAATTCCAGCAGCAGTTAGAAGGGAGCACCTTTCTGTTGGCATTAAATTACCTTACATGATGGAATGTTTGCTAGTGAGTAACTTCCATCAGAAACTAAAGAGGAAGATGATTAATCATGGTAACTCCTTTATGAATTCAGTGAAAGCCCTCCATTTTACACATGAGGAAACTGAGTCCGTGAGTTAAATTAATTAGCCTCACCATAAAGACAGAAGAGCTGGAGCTAAAAATCAAGTACTCAGAACATTAAGGGGAATTCAGAAAAAAAAAAAGAAATACACATCCCTGAAGCCCCATCATTTTATTTAAATCACATTTTGAAGGTGCCAGGAGGAAACTGAAAATATTTTCAGATTAAGTCCTTTGAGTGCGTATAACATTACAGAATCATAACATTACAATGGACTTCCAGTTTTTGGGGAGAAATCACTTTGCCCAGACTTGGTAACTTTGCCTCGCTGAATGAGAAATTTAGATAAATGAACTGATGTTGACCAAGCAATGATTATGCTGATAATTTATGTTAATTTTAAGGAAGGCGATTAGCATGTTCAGTAACATGGAAAATACAAGAAGCAGCATAGGTACCGCATGTGTCTAGATTGATGGAGAAGTAGAAACACCCACTTTTCTTCAGTGATTCAGGGAAAGCCTGTTGGGAAGACATGGGCACATTCAGATTCGCTCCAGCGAACTCATGCCCTGCCCATATTACAGGTGATCCTCCAAAGCCTCGAACACCTGTCATGTGCCCTACAGTGCCTTTGTAACATTTTACTTGTTGCCAGTCTCTCTTTTTGACTGTTTGTTTTGAAATAATTATAGATTCCCAGGAACTTGCAATAAAGTCTACAAGGAGCGCTTGTACCTTCACTGTTGTCCTGAATGGTAACATCTCCCCTTTCTGGAACGCAGTAGCACAGTGGGTCCAGTGACTTGGGGGCAGTCCACAGAACTGATTCGATTTCACCAGTTCATATGTGTGTGTGTGTGTGTGTGTGTGTGTGTGTGTGCGCGCGCGCGCGCGGGCGTGCGGAGCTCCGTGCAGTCGTATCACGTCTGTGGGTTCTTGGAGCAACTGTGATCACGGTACAGAGCTCCCTGTGAACAGCACACGTCTATTCTCCACCTGTCACTTTGCTGTTTTAAGGGTATCTTGTTCATGGAGCCATGAAGTGTGTAACCATTTGTGACCGGCATGTGCTGCTAGCACAACTTCCTTGCCATCCACCCAAGTGTTTGTATGTAAAGTTTGCTCCTTTTCTTGCCATGTAGTGTCCCATGGCTTCCCTGTACCCTGGGTTGTTCCTCCTTTGTCTCGTTGAAGGATGTTGGGTGTCTTTCTGATTTGGGGCTTTTAGGAACAAGATGCTAAGAATGGCTTTTGCATGAACACGGGTTTTTATTTCTCTTGGATAAATGCCAAGAAATGTAATTGCTGGGTCATACATGACCTGTATGCATATGATATTTGCATATATTGATTTATGAGAAATTGCCAGACCTATTTCCGGAGCACCTGTATCGTTTTACACCCTCACAAGCAGTGCATGTGTGAATCCATTTCCCAGCAGCCTCAGCAGCACTCGGTGTTGGGACTAACAACAACAATAACAACAACAAAATTGGCCATTCTGAGAAGTAGGCAGTGATATCTCATTATGGTCTTAATTTGCATTTCCTTAGTGGCCGATGATGTTGGAGATCACTTCGCGTGCTCATCTGCCATCTGGGCACCTTCTCCAGTGACATGTTAGCCCACATAGTTCACCCACTTTCTGTTTGGATTGTTTTGGTTGGTTGGTTGTTTTTCTTGTTGAGTTTTGAGTGTTTCTTATATATTTGAGATGCTCATCCTTCGTTAAAAATGCAGTTTGCAAATATTTTCTCCCAAATGTTTTCTTATTTTTCTGTCTTCAAAGGGCCTTTTGTAGAACCAGTCTCTGTCTCTGTTCTTCTCCTTCTCTAAGTTTTAGCTGATAGATTTCTGTCAAAAAAATAAATAAATAAAGTGACTTCTGGTTTCTGCAGACACACGTAGCATGGACAAGAATAGCGGGCAGGTGGCTGCCCTGAATAGAAAAGGTATGAGGCCCCATCCCCAGAACCCCATGACCTGTTGGGTCTTTCAGGCTGCTTGCAGTAGTAAATCCTGCAGCTTAAATGACCTATACATAGAAGGCCAAGAAACTGAGAAAATGTCCTCATTCATAATCCCACAATTGATTGGATATTTTCATGGGGATTCAAAGGAATTATAATAATCTTAAAATAAGGGAATTTAAGTTATGGAAATAAAGCTTACTTCAAATAATAAAGAGTAAAATATATTTTACAAATTCTTACTGATTTTTTTTCAAAATGTCCTATCTTTTACTTCTAGGTTGACCGTATATACTTAGGTTTGAAATGGACGATTTTTTCCCCTTACTCTGCTGTCTTGCCTGCAAAATGGAATAGCCTTACTATAAGTCATAAAAGAAATGCAGGGATGATATATTGACTTCAGAAGTGTTCACCAATTTTCTTTTGTTACAAATCCATCCCAAGTAATCATCACAGTAATTGAAGTAAATCAGGTAATTTAATCGCAGCAAATTATTATATTTTTTGATGTAATGCTTACTTGATCATATCCCTAGAATTCAGTGCATTTACATTATTTTTATAAAGAAGCAGCATATGGAGAGATGTGCTAAGTGGAAGTTTATGCCAGAGAAGGAAAATAAGTTGTGTTTTAAGATACATATGTGAAAATACATGGCAAATCAAGGAGATAAGCTAAGATTAACAAACTGGGTAATTAGTAAAGTGTTTTGCAGACAGAAAGAACCATATTTTGTAAGCATTGTGTGCTGCAATTATTATTAGAATGGTTGCAGGGAATTCAGTTTGCTTATTTAAATCACCTATTTTATAGTTTCATCTGTCAAACTGAAAGGCATATAAAAGTGAATAAACCATGTGACATCCAAACAAGATACTTTCATTATGTACCTGGGAAAACCTCAGCTTCAAGTAAACACTCAAGTTTGGTAATTAGCACGTAAGAAATTTTCCATACACCCCCAGCCCCAAGAAAATCTTTGCAGCTTTTTTTCTTGTGCAAATGCATGCATAAATGTTCCACAAACCTTTGTAGGTTTCTGACATTGGGAAGAGTGTTAGTTACAGCTCTGTGTACTTCTCAGAAGGACTGACTCATCTGCAAAGAGGTAGAATAGAGTTAGAAGAATATCAAATGCATTAGGTAACTGTAATGATTACAGTTGTAATTTCTGTGAAGTGAAAAAAGAATCCTATTGGAAAATGAAGCGTTTGCTGATTGGGCTGTAATCCACCTGCAGCCGGCCATGTTGCATGTGCTCAGAATAGGGTGTAGATGCTATCTATCCCACCCACCACCAAAGGGCCATTTTCCTTATGTTCAGTCACACAAAAATTATTTATGGCAGATTTTGACCCAATTTTAGTTTTTCATTGCCTGCTTTTTACATCACAGTGTAACACTTGCTAACACTTGCTTTAGTTGAATGAATAACTTCATTTCTGGTTTTCATTTGTTTTGTAAATGAAACAAACAAACTAAAGTCTCTATTTTGGATGTTCTTGTAAAGTATACAAACATTTTTCTCCAGGATTATCATCTTTCAAAATAATATATATTTTTTAATCTGGTAACAAAACCAAATAAACAGACATGCTACTAGTGTTATCCTCTGTATCTGTAAGCTCTAATTAGAATAATATAAAGCCAGACTTGTGTTTTTCATGGTTTTTATATTAACCTCACTGTATTAAAAGGCTTAGGTGGAATGTGCTTTGTTAAAATGAGGCTGAGTATACCAGACAATTTGAGCAATCCTTTTTTATTTTTTGTTACTCAGCATTTGTTTTTGGGCATTAAGTGTTTTTGATAAAGGACATTAAGTTGCTAGTCCTGCATTATAGCACTATAATTAAGATCTTGCTTGTATTTGAAAGTCTTCAAAGGTTTGTTGCATCTATAAGACAGCTGTTTTTTTTTTTTTTTTGACAGTGTCCTAAAGGCCCTCTCTGCTTCTCCAATATCATTGTCTCCACCTTGGCAACAGTCACACATGTACACCCGCACGCACACACACACGCACACGCATGCACATTGCCAGACAAGGCCACGCGCCTTTTTCCGTGCTGATTAGTCTGTTATGAGTATCCTTTCTGCCTTGGCCCCCTCTGCTCTCCAAACTTCCCTTTCTCTTCTTTGAATAAGTTCCAGATCATCCTGGAAAACTGACGTGACACAGCGTCTTCTCTGCCCCTCTCTACACCCCCCCAAGATGGCCAGGTAGTGTGCTGCTCAGGGCTACCAGTTCCCTCGGGCGCAGAGAGATCGGCACTTTGCGTGTAGCCTGCAGAGGCTCTGAGACCTGGTCCTAGGGTCTGTGCTGTGCTCCCTGCATTCCAAACACATTTGTTCGTCTTCCCCCTCTGCCGCGCCTCGACTTGTGTTGAACTTGTAGCGCACCCGGCACTTGGCACAAGCCTGTTCGACCCACAGCCTGCTCTTCCCGTGTGTCATTCCTCAGGGGCGGCCAGGGGCGACATCCACCCCGTGGGGCCTTTCTTCCATCTCTGCCGCCGACTCCGTGATTGCAGGCTCTGTCTGGACCTCCGCTTCAACCCCAGACACACGTGTGCCACTGTGTTCCCGACATGTGCCCTGCACACGCACCCGCTCCCTGGGTGTTCCACCGGGAGCCCTCCGCGCCTCCGCCCCCGCCCAGCCTCACACAGCCTGTCTGGGAGCAGTGGCAGCATCACCGCCTGAGGCGGCAGAGCCCCCACCTCCGCCCTGGGTCTGGGCCCCTTCTTGGTCGTGAACGTTTGTACCTTATCTGTGCTCACGTTCATCCAGGTCTCTGAGCCCCCATGTGCACTGGCGCATGTGCGCGCGCACACACACACACACACACACACACACACACACACACACACACTTTCTCCCTCTGCCTCCAGTCCCCTTCCAGTTTTAGTTTTTTACCTCTGGTCATTATTTAGTAATTATACATACGTATGTATGTTATGTGTATGTGTATATATACCTATATATATGTATGTATGTATGTATGCTATGTTTGTACACATAACATACATTTTGATGCATTTTAATGTTAACGCTCCCACTAGGATAGTACCGGAGACGTGGTGGAGACTCAGGGGATGTACATTGGATGAGCGAGTGAATGAATGGATCTTCGTGTAGCTGCCTGCTCATCCAGCTGACAATAGCATCCTGTCCTCCACCACTCTCTCACTCAACACTGTAGCTAAGTTAGCCCACCTCACAGATGTAAGAAAAACGGCCCTCCTCTTTACCCTGTCTTATCACTTGTCTAGACTCTGTCAGTAATGAGAGATATTTATCCATTTGTGTTTTTGTTTCTCCTAGAATAGAAGCTCCTTGATAAGAGGCCTTAGCTTATGCTCGCTTGTCTGCCCAGAATGTGTGATGTCTGTTGTGGAATAAACGTTTGGTCAATAGTACTGATTTATCGACCGGGCGAGTTTACTCAGCACAGTATGTGGACTGGACTAGGTTACGATGTGTATCTAGTGATACCTAGCTCTCTGTCGTCTATCTGCCATAGTCTCTGTGTACAATAAGTGGATACTTGACCCCAGAGAAGAATTTTAGTATTGTAAACCTTCTTTACATTAGATCAGCATTAATATCAGCTTTGGTGTTTTAAAGAAGGCAAATTCAAATGCTCACATGGCACATGGGATCACATATCTTTAAGAAATAAAGGCCAAAGCACATGAGAGTCTTCAAGTTCCCGAAGGAGCACCTCTCTATCCCGCAGCAGTATTTTTGTGATGCACATTCAGGTCTGCAGGCCTCAAAATATCCTACTGGGGGAGGCATATGGGCCATGAGTCAGACTTTCCAGGTTTTCCTCGGGAGAGTTCGTTCTCTGAAATGTTTATTCAAGTGTAAATGTCAGGTGGCTCTGGGTCAGATGCGGTACGTTGGAGCTGACAAGTCCATAAAGAGCATTTTACCTGAGCCCCTTTCTTTGGGGACATGGTGGCCTGGAAGTGGCAGAGATCACAGAAATCCCACCTGTGCAAGGCAGACAGCATGGGCAGGGTGTGAAGGGGTGTGCCCCAGGGCACTGAGACGTGAAGGGTGTAAAAATCGGAAGCGAGAAGAAACAACTTAGTGCAATGTTCACAGCAGTAAGTAGCTACAGCAGGAGCCGCCGGATGTCTAAGAGACTCTTAACAGAATGAATTGCGAAGTTGGTGTGAGGTCTGATCCGGATGGAACCTGGCCATCCACAGGTAGCGATCCACTTGTTTAGTGAGTGCGCCTGGGTCCCAGCACCCAGCTCAGGGCCTGGGTGGCCACGGCCACGCCAGAGAAGCGGAGGAGGGATGAATGAAAGGTGACCTCAGAACGCACCTTCAAGGGGAACGTGCTGGGTCCTGAAGCCACGCAAGTTACACATTCAGATTCTTCGCAGCAGTGTTCAAGTTACATACTCTGTCCTGTCATTTGTTGTTTTATCACAAAACTGGCTCGTATATTTCTTAAACCAAGAGGAATTATTACAAATAAGATAAAGTTGAGCTAATTTCTTCATTTCTGAAATAGTGATGATAGTACTTGCCTTGTTAGACCATTTTGACCATTTATCACTCTTCATATAAAACACTTAGCCCAGTGCCTGACACAGTGGGCACTTGGTGACCATACCTGTAGATTCTATTTGTGTTTCTTAGGACAGAAACCACACTGTGGGCACTGATCGTACTTACCAAATAGAAGTGTTTCTACTCTCAACTTCATCTGAGTAGATCACGAACATTTTACTTTGAAATACCAATTTTGAAATGCCCTGGGAAATTATAAGCTACACACCATAAGTTCCTAACCTTCTCTCTATTGAAACAGATGTGATAAGTGATGTTCCCATGTGTGATCCAGAAGAGAAGTCACAGAGGTATCAAGATACTGAGCCTCAGCCCTCGGCACCCTCCCCATGCACACCCCCCCACAGGCGCGCGCGCACACACACACACACACAAACACACACACACACACACATAATGTGTCTGACTTCTGTTTTATTTGGATGTGATATTTATTTAGTTTTTTTCAGTTTTTTATTTAAGTTTATATATTAGAGAGAGAGAGAGAGAGAGAGAAAACCTGTGCACACAAGAGGGGGAGGAGCACAGAAAGGGAGAGAGAGAGAATCCCAAGCAGGATCCATGCTGTCAGCACAGAGCCTGACAGGGGGCTTGAACTCACCAACCATGAAATCATGACCTGGGGCAAAAGAAATCAAGAGTCAGATGCTTAACTGCCTGAGCCACCCAGGTGCCCCCTCCCCCCTTTTTTAAAAGGGATGTGATATTTATTTTTAAAAATTTTTGTATGTGAGTAAATCACCTACTTAATGGCCTCAAAATACATAGTTTGCAAAATAAAAATAGGGCTATTTTACTTATTTTTTTGAAATTGAACTGCATCATGTAATAAGAAAGCATGATAAAGGTCCCTCGGTGTAAGCCGTGGCCCAGGTGAGATGAGCTTCTGGCTGTAATTCCCAGTTCGCTTTCACACAGCTCCACTCACCTCTCAACAGAAAGTAGGCAAATAAAATCCATGTTGAGATGAGCAGTGATGTTATCACAGGGATGACCTTGAATCAAATCTGGCTAATCTCAAAGCTTGCAAATGTTGGTTAGTTTGGGAGTGTGGTTACTGACAGCCTGTTCGGAAGGCATCCCTGACCTGATTCAGACAGTCACTGTGCGGGGTCCCTAGTGGAAAACCCCTAATCACCACTGTAACAGTCTGTCCACAGGCTGTAGAAAGGTGTTCTTGAATGTTTCATCCAAGCCTAGCAAATTTGAGGTTTGTGTTTTAAGTTTACATTAGTGTGTGTTTCCTAATCCAAGAACTCCACTTACCCTCCTTCCCACTACACTAAAATGTTATGTATAGTATATTAGTACTTGGCGTTGATATATCATAGCATCCTTATTATTTAATTGCTCATTTTGATTATTTGCAACCTTATTTAATTTTATCTGTGTAGAATGCTGGAGCAAATAATCTCTTTTAGAGATCCCGGGATTTCTTTTCTTTTTTTTAGCTGATTGATGAGGAATTATTGTTCCTGCAGTGAGTGGGTAGTGACTGTGCCAGAG